ATGCTCCCATTAACCATAACAACTTTATCATCCCAAACAATGGCTTTTCCCATCCATTTGCCATCAGGCATCAAAAATCCAGGATAATCGTCCTCGTTTACGTCAAATTTAAACCTAAACGGACCCTAAAACCATTTGATATATATATATATATATATATATATATATATATACATATATACATATTTGCATACATACGTAATAAATTTATTCGATTTATACAAGCTTAGATACAAAATTATCGTTTTTTTTAACTTTCAAACGCAATTTTTAGATATACCTAGTTACTATAGGGTGCCATAATGTTTACAAAAAATGTAGATAACTCAATTCTCTATATTTCTTACGAAGGTTGCATTTGTATTAAGCGAGCGGTTTAAAAGTTACAAGACATAATATAAATAAATGCACATACATAAGCATACTATGATACTACAGTGGCCCAAGTTAGGGCCCAATTTTTTTCCATATGCTAAAAATTGATGTGGGGTATCATTTGAAAGGTTTCGACGAGCACTTTAAGAATATCATATCAAAGGTTCCGTACCAAGTTTTGTTTTTGATTTTTACTTACTGGTGGTATAGGGCAACCTTTAGGTATTATCTGTCCAGGAAGCTTGAAGGAAGTAAGTATGGGCTTGTAAAAGGTCCTAGCAATTTGCCCACTTATACCTATACCGTGCTGGGCATTATATATACCGGCAAAAATTGGACAAAAGTTGAATTTTACCAATGGGAAATGCTCTTTGTATCTGTTGGTCATCAATTTGTAAAATTGAACTTCTATCTGTCAAGAATAAAATTTTGAAAAATTGTAGAAATCAAAAAAATTGGTAAAAGTTATGAAAAATTGTGAATATTGGTAAAATTTATAAAAATGGTAACAATATTATATTTACCGCATAAGTGTTGACAGTTTTAAGACTTCGTCCTTTTGCAATGAAGTACCTATAGGTCCTGTTGACCTTAACAATTTCCAATTGTTCTAAATCAACAAATTCCTTGTTGTAATACGCGACTCGTATATACTCCAAATTTAATTTGTAACTAGTCTAAAAATCAACAAAAAAAATGATTTAAACAATTTTTATTCATCTTGGGCCACTTACCCAACTTTGGGCCAGGTTTGTCAAGAGAAATGCCATGAAAATTTTGACCAAGAACATTTTTTGTGAATATTTTTTTCCTGTTGATCTTTGTAAATGAACTGTCCGTAAGTAAGGATTGCGTATGTAATTTTTTTGTAAATTGGCGGAAATTAAATCTGATTTGATCTTTAAAATATATATATATATATATATATATATATATATATATATATATAAGTGCGTAAGTATGGATTGCGTATGTAATTTTTTTGTAAATTGGCGGAAATTAAAGTTTGCTGATTTGATCTTTAAACTTGTGGGGTGGGTGGCATCGTGCCTTAAGGCAAATTGCTGGAACTTCCCGTACCGTAACGAAATGTTCGAAGAATACTGAATGTTTTCAAATATATTATTATTAATATTGTAACATTGTCTAATATTAATGAGAATTATATAAACTGAATTGCAAAGTTGAAATTATTTGTTTAAAGTGTATTAGAACTATAGTCAGAATTAAAAATAAATATTTTCGATATACAAAAAACTAAAAAAAAAAAAAAAAAAAAAAAAAATTCCAAAATCGATTATTTTGTTAAGACAAGCAGAAAGTTCTTTGAATCATTTAAATCAGACGCTTAGTTCTCTCAAAAACTGCCATTTTTCACATATTTAGCTCCGTATCTTCAAAATGGCTGGGCCTGCCTTTGCCAAAAACTAATAAACACTTCTCCCAATCATTACTAATTGAATGTTTTTAGATCATTCAAATCGGATACTCCGTTCTGTCAAAAAGTCGATTTATATTTTCTGCACTCTTTGCTCCGTATCCCCGAAACGGCTAGACCTGCCTTTGCCAAAAACTGATCAGCTCTTTTCCCTATTAATAGGAATCGAATGTATTTTGAACCATTCAAATCGGTTGATCCGTGCGCCCGAAAACGTGACTGGAAATTTGTATCCATACATACACACACACACACACAGACAGCCATTTTTTCTGTGGTATGCCAAAATGTTCAGAAACCTTCAAAACGTCGAGAAATGTAAAAATTTTTAATTCCGATTTTCGGCCCATTACAATAACTTACCCTACGGAAAGTTAATTATATATATATATATATATATATATATATATATATATATACATATATATATATATTCATATATATATATATATATATATATAAAGTGCGTAAGTATGGATTGCGTATGTAAGATTTGATCTTTAAATTATATATATATATATATATATATATATATATATAACTGTCAAAAATAACGAAGTCATTATGTTTCAATTGACATAAACATAATTCTAGTAATTGCTCTTGTTTATTGGCAGTGAAAATGTCTAACTATTTGCCGTGCTATCAGGCGCATTTTACATATAAACAAAGCAAGGAAGAATGTTAAGATAACAGAATTTTTAATATCAACAATTCAGTGTCATTTTAGTAAAAAAAAGGACTCTACTGACTAAAAATGTTCTATTAATTGTAACAGATTAGTTAAAACTACAAAAAATAAAAATATAATAATGGATATTATTATTAACTTCCCGAAGGAGAAGTTTATGTTTTCATAAAAAAAAAAATTCTCTAATTTTATGTTTTCTCGACGTTTCAAGCCATTCTGAATCGAATAAGACCAAATTTGAAAAAGTATGTATGTGTGTGTGTGTGTGTGTGTGCGTGTATGTGAACAGATTTTTTGCCGTAAATCGACGTTTTCTCGAAAACGGCTGGGCCGATTTCAAAAATTTAAAAGCCATTCGATGTATCTCGACGAGAACTATTGTGCGACGATCGGCCGAACCGTTTCTTTTAAATCGCAGAAAAATAAAAAAATTTTCGTCTACGTTTTAGTCCGCAATTCTGAATCGATTTTGAAACATCAAAAACCGTTCGAAAGATATTGGTTGGGAAACGTGCTGATTAGTTTTTGGTAGAGATCGGCCGGGCCGTTTTCTCGTAATAAAGTTTTTAAAAAAAAAATTCGACGATTTTTATGATTATTTTTTTGACTGTAGATACCATAGTCTTCTAGATCATACTGAAATATTACGGCCCTACGACAACTGGTTCAGCTTTAAAAATTCGTCAAAGTTTGCAAAAATTGGTATCGTTTTTTTGGCATTTGTCAGAATTAGACTTTTGATCGACGTTTTTTCAAAAACGCCTGAACCGATTTCAGAAATTTAAAAGCCATTTGATGTATTTCGGTGAGGACTATCGTTTGTCAGTTTTGTGCGACGATCTGCCAAGCCGTTTCTTTGCAATTTGAAAAAAAGTGTTAAACTTTTCGTCCACATTTAAGCTCATCCTACCGAACCGATTTTAAAAAATCAAAAACTGTTCGAAAGATATCATTTGGGAATGATGCTGATTAATTTTAGGTGAAAATCTACCGAGCCGTTTTCTTGTAATTAAATGTTAAAAAAAATTCAAGCCTTTTTTACTGGAACTTTTTTTGGCGATATACATCATGGTCTTATAGAACTTACTGTAATATTACGGCCTTACGACAAGTAGTTTAATTTTAAAAATTCGTCAAACTTTGCTAAAATTATTATCGTTTTTTTAAAGTAGGATTGATGAAGTATATTATTTACACATTTTTTTTTTTGATTAAGTCGATTATTTACACATATCGGGAAGTTCATGTAACTTGCCTCAAAGCTAAATACCAAACCAACTAGTTTATTATATTAAAAAAGACTCTACTGACGAGCAAATTCTCTGTTTTATTATAAAAAGGGACTCTACTGACGAGCAAAATCAGATATTGTTTTGTAATAAAAAAGGGACTCTACTGACGAGCAAATTCAGTAAAATATTTTAAATATCAAAAAAGTAATTTTAGGAAAAAGGAACTCTACTGATGGTTAAATTCAGATATTGTTTTATAATAAGAAAGGGACTCTACTGACGAGAAAATTCAGTAAATTATATAGTTTTATAATAAAAAAAAAAAGATTCTACTGACAAGCAAAATAAAAATGTTTTATTAGTTAAAAAAAAACACGATTGAAAAGTAAAATTCATTTTAGTAAAAAAGACTCTACTGACGAACAAATTCTTTGTTTTATTATAGAAAAGGGACTATACTGATGACCAAACAGAATCTCAAAAAACATAAACTTCTCCTTCGGGAAGTTAACAAGTCGTGTATGGCATCGTGCCTCAAGGCAAATTGCTGGAACTTTCCGTACCAAAAGTTAATTTTTTTCAAAAAGATTGAATTTTTTTTTTAGACTTTGAAATTTTTTTTATGAATTTTTATTAATTTTTTTGACCAAATTTTTTTATTCCAACATTTTCTTCCAAAAAATTTTTTTTGTATTATTTGACATACGTGCGCTTTGATATACGAGCGCTTCCAGATTTCTTTCTCAAAAATTTTTTTTTCTTAAATTTTTTTTCCATAAATTTTGTGAGAAAACTTTCTTTTCTAAAATTCTTTGTTCTAATTTTTTTTAATTCCAGAATTTTTTCTCAAAAATTTTTTTTGTGTGATTTGACATACGAGTAATTCTTGTTACAATTTTTCGAACTTAATTTTATTTCTCAAATTTTTTTTCAATTTTTCCAAACATTTTCCTTCAATTTTTTTTCTAACATTTTTTAAAAAAAATTTTATGAAATTTTTTCCCAAAAATTGATTTATTCCAATTTTTTTTTAATTCGAATATTTTTTTTCGAAAATTTTTTTTCTGTGTGACTTGACATACGAGCGCTTTGAAATACAAGCCAAAACTGAAACTAAAAAAACTATATTGACAAAAATTCAAAATTTCAATCAAAACTGCAACCCTTTTGGTCAACTTAATAAAAAAACTTTAAATTAAAACAATAAAATTTATTAACAAAAAATTCACAAAACTTGGTGCAAATGCAAAACCAAAAATTGGTTTCAACCCATTTTATTTTTCTGTTTTTCTGAAGAATAAGTAACAATATCAAAAACACAATTCAATCCCACAACCAAATTTTTGGCAACACTCAAATTGCCAGCAAGTTTCCAAGTGCCTTCTGGCAACAAAAAAGCAGGAAACAAATCCTCATCCAAATGGTAATTCACATGGTAATTATCCTGCAACAAAAAAAAAAACAAAAAAAAAATGGGGTCACCAATAGGTCAAACCATAAAAAAACACATTTACCACTAACCGCTGGTATAGGACAACGTTTTGGAAAATTTCCTCCTTCTTTTTGAAATTTGGCCACAATCGGCTGGGCAAATTTGGCGACAAAATTGGTGACAAATGAGGAATTGTTGTTGGTGACTTTTGCAGATTCCAAAATTGGGCAAAGTTGTAATTTTACGAGAGGAAAATGTTCTTTGTAACGATTGCTCATACGTTTGTATAATTGTCCTTCGCCCTTGATAAAAAAAATAATAATGTTAGGTAGATGCATCAAAATTTGGTACCAAATTTTCAGTAGTTAATTTCAATTATTGTTATTATCAATTTGTTCATTAGTAGAGTATATTTTTTATTTTTAGTTTGTTCGTCAGTAGTCCTTTCTTTATTTTTATTAGTTTGCTCGTCAGTAGTGTTTCTTTTTTATTTTTATTATTAGTTTGTCAGTAGAGTCTATTTTTTGTTTAAGTTTGCTCGTCAGTAAAGTCCCTTTATTATTTTTGTTATTAGTTTGTTTGTCAGTAGAGTCTTTATTTAATTTTATATTAGTTTGTATGTCAGTAGAGTCCCTTTTTTATTTATATTCTTAGTTTGTACGTTAAAAGAGTCCCTTTTCATTTATGTTATTAGTGTGTACGTCAGTACAATTCTTTTTGTAGATTCTTAGTTTTCTCATGACTAAAATCACTTTTTTTTAATTTGCTCGTCAGTAGAGTCCGTTTTATAAATTCTGTTTCCTCGTCAGTAGAGTCCCTTTTCTAAATTCTCTTAGCTCGTCAGTAGAGTTCATTTTTTTCTGAATTCTGAATGTGTAATTTTTCATCCCTAACAAAATTTGTTTGTTTGTCAGTAGTGTTCGTTTTCATTTCTAGAATATTATATCATTAAGTACTTTTTAAATTAATTTTCATTTGGCTCGTTGGTAGAGTCTTTTTTAAAATTCTGTTTTCTTGTCAGTAGTATTCTTTGTTTAAAATTCTATTTGCTCGTCTGTAGAGTCCTTTATTTTAAAATCTGTTTGCTCGTCAGTAGAGTCCCTTTTTAATTTCCCGTAGGGTAAGTTATAGTAATCGCAAAAAAATCGACAAAGAAATTGTTTATATATCTTTACGTTTCAAAGGTTTCTGAATATTTTGCCACACCTTAAAAAAATAAATGTATGTGAGTGCGGATACAAATTTTCGTCGACGATTTCGGGAACACGGATGAAGCGATTTGAATAATTCAAATAGCATTCGATTCGTATTGATAAGGAGACTTGCTTATTAGTTTTTGGCGAAGGCAGGTTTAGCCGTTCCGAAGGTACGGGCCAAAAAGTGCCCAAAACGGTAACTCAGTTTTTAACGAAGCGTCCGATTTAAATAATTCAGAAAATATTTTACTTGTATTAACAAGATGTTAAGAACTGATCAGATTTTCATGAAGGCAGGTCTAGCTGTTTCGGAGATCTAATAAAAAAAGTAAATAAAAATGCCATTTGGCGGTCAAAAATGATCATTAGATATATGCACATCAAATTATCAGATATTTTATAAAGATTTTAACAATAAGTATGAATTTTGTTTACATTCCTATGCGTTCCGTACCAATGCTTATCCGTTAGACGGCGGCGCGGCGCTTAAGCGCTTTTATATTTTATCTCTATGGAGTTAAAGCAGTACGATTGCGTTGGAAAAAAGTTCAGAATTTCCAAAAGATGTCAAAATAAAGCAAACATTTTTTTTTCAAAAAAAGTAATTTTTTGTTAAATTCATAGTTTCTCAAAAATCTTATTTTTTCGAAGTAAATTTTTTTCAAAAATGTTAATCGTTTTTGAAAAAATAACAATATTTAGTACGGGCAGTTCCAGCAATTTGCCTTAAGGCTAGATGCCACGTGCCCCACTAGTTGAATTTTATTAATAGTTTGTTCGTTAGTAGAGTCCCTTTTCTATTTTTATTATTAGTTTGTTTGTCAGTACAGTCCTTTTTGTAACTTAGTAGTTTGTACGTCAGTAAAATTACTTTTTTTATTTTGCTTGTCAATAGGGTCCCTTTTTATATTTTTATGATTAGTTTGCTGGCCGGTAGAGTCACTTTTTCTTAGTTTATTCGTCAGTAGAATATTTGTAATTATTTTAAAAATCGAATTTATTAAAGAACGGAGCATCCGATTTGAATGATTCAAAAAACATTTTGCTTGTATTGAAAAAGCGTATCGTTTTTAGAAAAAATTTTTTTTACTATTTTAAATTGTATTTTTTTAATTTGCAAGTTTTTTTTGAATATCGAAAATGATTTGCATACTAATTTTATTTCTTATAATCAAGAAATTATTATAGAAAAGTAATTTTGGGTTAAAAATTACCAATACTAAGCACAGTCTAAATGACAACTTGGTACAAATGTTTTTGCAAGTGCGTTTAGACTGTTCTTATACTGGAGCACTTTTCCATTTTTTTTATAAATTAAAAAAATGCAATTTTTAGTTGAAAATTTGAAAAATTACCCATACTAAGCACAGTCTAAGTGACAACCTGGTACAAATATATTTGCAAGTGCGTTTAGACTGTTTTTATACCGGAGTACTTTTCTAATTTTATGTAAATTATAAAAATGCAATGTTTAGATAAAATTCAAAAAATTACCCTGACTTAGCACAGTCTAAGTGACAACCTAGTACAAATATATTTGCAAGTGCGTTTAGACTGCTTTTGTACTACAGAACTTTTCCAGTTTTATGCTAATTATTATAGAAATGTAATTTTAGGCTTAAAATTCAAAAAATCACCCAATCTAAGCGCAGTCCAAGTGACAACCTGGTACAAATGTTCAGACAAGTGCGTTTAGACTGTGACTGCACTGGAGCACTTTTTAAATTTTATGTAAATTTTTAGTTAAAAATTTGAAAAATCATTATATAATTGTCCTTGGCCCTAAAATAATATCAGAGTTTTAGGATGCATCAAAATTTATTTACCACAAGGTTTTCCAAAGGTTTTTTGATCGTCACATTTACAAACATCGAAGCATAAGATCTGTTCAATTTTTGGACTTCCATTTTATGCAAAAAGGCCAAATTTGTGTTTATGTAATCTACATGAAGAGACTTCAACATCAATCTGTAGTTTCTCTAAAATTAGAGCCAAATGTTAATAAAACTTGAATAAAATTTAGGGCACTCCAAAATCTTACCCAACAGTTGACACCAACTATGAACAATATTATAAAAAATAACTTTTGGCAGTCCATTATCAAATGATGCAAATTTATCTCTTGTTGCACATATAAAAGTGCAGGATGTTTACATAAAAATGCAACAAGCAATTAACTTTGATTACTATTTTCCATCAATTACATTATATAAGTACGATAATTTTATGGTAAATAAAATAATTAACAAACTACTAGTCATTTGTGCCAATCATTAGCATATTATTGTAATTTGTTTGCAACTATCATAAGATTCTTCCTTGCTTTGTTTATATGTAAAATACGCCTGATCGCACGGCAAATATACAGACATTTTCACAGTTCTTTCTACCAGCATAAGATAGCGTTGCCAGGACAACGCTATTTTATAAGTTCTGTTTCTGTTTAATTCCCAGCTTGGTAAAGCCCATAATTACTTTCTTCAACCTTCCTGGAAAAATTCTACCCAAAGGCTGCCCTATACCACCAGTAAGTGAATAAATAGAAACACACTTATTAATGCAATATTCGTGATACGGAACCCTATTGCCTTGTTAAAGATTTTAATATAATATTGTTAAACTTCTCGTCGAGACCTTTCATTTGATACCCCACATCGATTTTTACCTCACGAAAATATTTCTGGCCTTAACTCGGCCCACTGTACTATTTATAGTACAAAGAAATGCACAAGCTTTTATTAAATCTGCTGTAACTTTTGAACGGTTTGTCCAAAATAATTGAAATATTCATCATTATGACATATAATATTGTTAAACTTTTCTCGAGACCTTTCATTTGATACCCCACATCATTTTTTGCCCTATGAAAATATTTTTGGCCCTAACTTGGCCCACTGTACTATTTACAGTGCAAAGAAATGTACAAGCTTTTATTAAATCTGCTGTAACTTTTCAGCGGTTTGTCCAAAATAATTGAAATATTCTGCAAAATTATAGAAAATTAAACAATATATTTTTCTCTCTGACATTATGAGATGTTAAATCATGATTACATGTTGCTTTTATAAGGTTTTGGTAGTCATTTTCTTTTAGTGCTTGTCGAGACCTTTCGTTGGATATCCAACATCATTTATTACTATATTTACCATTATAATGTCACCAAAAAAAATTTAGTACGGAACCCTGTTCAAGGTTTCAAGTATTATATTCCCATAGTGCTCGTCGAGACCTTTTATTTGATACCCCACATCGTTTTTTACCATACAAAAATATTTTTGACCACAATCAGGCCCACTGTACTATATACGCATTTATTTATTTCATGAATTGCTTGTAACTTCAGAACGGTTTGCCAGAATTAATTCAAATATTCTGCAAAAATAAAGTAAATTAAACTATATTTTTTCATTATGTCATTATAAGATGATAAATCATGAATATGAATCCCTGGTGCTTTGTTAAGGTTTCGACTGAGATATTCTAAAAGTGCTCATCGAGACCTTTCATTTGACACCCCACATCATTTTTTCACTATATGAAAATATTTTGGCCCTAATTCGGCCCACTGTACTATTTACAGTACAAGCGTGTGCATTTATTTATTGAATTACTTGTAACTTCTAAACGGTTTGCCCGAAATGATTGAAATATTCTGCAAACTTTTAGAAAATTAAACATTCTGTTCGTTCTTCTATCATTATGAGACTCTAGAACAACTCTTTCTACTTAAAAATCATGATAATAATGCAAAACATCACCCGAAAAATAGAATTGAAAATAGTAATCATAATTAATGATAAATGTTCAATCCGCAATCGTTATAGAAAAAAATAGGTTAGTCAAAGTTCAATTGTATACGTTTAAAATTTGTACAAACTTAAATGATGTATTTAAATAAAATTTAAAAAAAAAATTCTTTTTTGGAATCTTAGTACTTTGTAACATACGACCAATGGGTTGAGGAAGTAGAGGTCAAATAATAGGTTGTCAAATATCTCCCTTCCGCCTTTTTGTATTATAAACCAAGAGCAAAAAAGCGGAAGGGAGATATTTGACAACCTAATATGTGTTTGTTCAAAAATAGGCATGTGGGGTATCAAATGAAAGGTCTCGACGAGCACTATTCAAATATCACATTCGCAGACTCGACAAACCAATATAGTTGCCATTACAAGTATACCGAGTTGCTGTAGGGCTTTACAAAATTAAACAATTATATTGCTTATGTAATTTAACACAACTTTGTCGAATGTTGCATTCAAATCGGACAAACCGTTCAAAAGTTACAAAAGATTTAATATAAAGACGACCAATGGGTTGCAGCAATCGAGGTCAAATATGTGTTTGTTTAAAAATAGGCATGTGGGGTATCAAATGAAAGGTCTCAACGAGCACCATTTAAATATCGCATTTACAGACTCAAAAAAAAACAATATAATTACAAATACAAGTATACAGAGTTGCTGTAGGGCTTCACAATATCAAACAATTATGTAGCTTATATAATTTACATAAACTTTGTCGAATGTTGCATTCAAATCGGACGAACCGTTCAAAAGTTACAAGAGATTTAACAAAAAGACGACCAATGGGTTGCAGCAATCAAGGTCAATTATATATTTGTTCAAAAGTAGGCATGTGGGGTATCAAATGAAAGGTCTCGACGAGCACTATTCAAATAACACATTTACAATGTTAAAAAAATTGTTCTGGTCTAATTATAAGAACAAAAACCACAACCAATTATTCTTTAACCCATTTTATTTTTCTGTTTCTCAGAAGAATAATTGACAATATCAAAAACAACATTCAATTTCAAAATAAAAACATTGGGCATAGTCATATTGGCAACAGCTTTCCAAGTGCCTTCTGGAAGAAAAAACGCGGGCGACAAATTCTCATCGTAATGATAATTCAGATGGTAATTATCCTGGAAATAGACAAACATAAAAATTTGATGTTTACTGCTTGATATCAATCTATCACAAACCGCTGATACTGCGCAACGATCAGGAAACTTTTGGTCGCCTTCTCGAAATTTGGTGATTATTGGCAGCAAAAATTTGGACACCAAATTTGAAACAAATTGTGAACTTTGGGTGACTTTTAAAGATTCCAGGAGAGGACACAGTTGTAATTTTATACTGGGAAATTGTTCTTTGTAACGATTGCTCATACGTTTGTATAACTGTCCTTCACCCTTGATTATAAATCAATTTTTACCAAAGTTACATAATTATACATACATATATATATATATATATATATATATATATATTTATATATATATTACCATTGCCTTATTAACTGGTTTCAATAACGTTCCATTCAAAATAACAGACGAATAAGTCCTGTTTAATACTTTAATACTGATTTGATGTGGCAACAAATATTCTGGATTATGATAATCTAAGTTCAAACCACGAAAAATAACTCTATAGTTGGTCTAAACATTAAAAAAAATACTACATATTAATTAACCATTAATTAATTAGTTTATACTTCCACTTCTTACCCAACAATTAGTGTTAATAATAATTATTGAAAAAAATGTGAAAAACTTTGTTGAAAACATTTTTGTATGAATTGCAAGGACTGAGTGACTAGTTGAAACATTGCATGATTGCAAATTTTCAAGATTTCAATTATAGATTAATAAATCAAAATTGTTGCAGAAATTATACAAAGTATCACACATATGAGATAAACATAGAACTAATGTGCTTTACACTATTTATTGTTTTCCGTACTCAACAAATGGCCTACTATGCTTAAATCTATCGCTAATTGAATAACTAATTGTTTTATTGATCGAGATATTAATTGAATCATTAATGAATACAAAGAAAATTGCAATTAAATTCTGATTATCCAAACAAAACTCCAAGTAAATCTGAATTAACTTCAAATTGAATACAAATCAAATACTAATTGATCCTAACTAAATGCAACTTGACTGCAGTTCTATTTCAAAATCCGATTAAATTATAATTCAATTCTGAATAAAGTTAAATTTTTATTAAATTTTAATTCAAACTAAATTTTAATTTAATGCCAATTAATATCCTATTAAATCTCAATTGATTAATTTCTTAACTAAATTGAACTGAAATTAAATAAAATAATTTTTAATCAAAATCACTACTAAACCCGAATTCAATCTAAATTTAATAAAAAATAAATACTAATTAAATCCCAATTGATTTTTGATCGAATATTTATTGAATCCTAATTTAATATCAATTAAATACAAATAATAAACAAACTACACTCTAATTGAATTCTAGTTAAATCCAAACTAAATCGAGATTAACTTCCTTTTGAATCCAGAATAAATTGCAACTAAATATTAATCAAATAAAGAATCTACTGCTTGGCAATATCCCTAATGAATCCCAATTCGAACCTAATTAAATAAAAATAAATGAATCAAAATTAAACCTAAACGAATCACTAATCTTATTAAATCACATCCTAAATCCAAATTAAATACTAACTAATTTTTCATGAAATCGTAAACAATTTCAAATTAAAATATCAACTAAATTTCAATAGAATCTTAATTATATCAAAATTAAATACTAATTAAATCAGAATTAATTAATTTTCAATTGAATCTTAACAATACTCATAATAAATACAAATAAAAAACATCTGAATCCAATTTATCTACAACTTATATTTAAATAATAAACACTATAATTAAATCTAAATTGATTTTTCATTAAACCACAAATTAAACACAAATAAAAACAAATTGCAACCAATTTAATTACTATTTAAATTGAAGTAAATCCTAACTAATTCCATATTAAAAACAGGTCAAGTTCAAACAAAGTTCTAATTGATCTGCAATTAAATCTCAATTAATTTCTAATTAAAACCAAATTATTGTTAGAGTAAACCGGAAATAAATCCAAGTTGAAACCCATTTAATCAATTAATTATAAGTGATTGATAATTGCATCCTAACTAATTACAAAATAAATACACATAAAAAACCAATTAAATCCAATTTAACTTTTGGAATTCAATTACAGTTTAATTAGAATTTAATTTGAATTTGGTCAGAGTTTAATATGAATTTAGTTAGGATTTAATTAGAATTTGAATGTTAATTAAATTGGATTTATGAGGTTTTTTATTTGTATATATTTTGTAATTACTTAGGTATCATTTATAAATCAATTTATATTTATAATTGATTTCAACTTGGATTTCTTAACGATTTACATAAAAAATAATTAGAATTTATTTGGGATTGAATTAGATATGAATTAGAATTTAATTAACTTTTACTTTAATTTATTTAGAATTTAATAAAAATTTAAATCGTAATTAAATTGGATTTAATTCATTTCTTAGTTGTAATTATTTTATTTACAATTAGGATGCAATTAAATTTAGATTTAAGATTTAATACATATTTTAATAATAAATTAATTATGATTTCATAAGAGTGCATTGTGAATTTATTTAGAATTTTATTAGTATAGATTTAGTATAATTATTGAATTATGTTTAATTAATATTTAGTTATGATTCAATTAGGAGATAATTGGTATAATGATTACAAACTAAATTGTTATTTGATTAAGATTTAATTACAGTTTATTTTGGAGTTAGTTGGGATTTAGTAGGAATTTAATATGGATATAATCAGTTTTTTATTAGGATTTAATTTGACTTAATTAGGATTCATGAAGGAATGAATTTGGATTTAATTAAGAATGAATTAGCGTTTAATTATGACTTGTTTATTATTCCATTGGGATTTATTCAGGATTTAATAAAGTTTTGGTTTAATTTAAAGTGTAATTTAATACAAATTTAGTTTGTTTCACTGATTAAGATTTAATTTATTTTTAACTGCGATTTAAGTTGGATTCATTCAAGATTTCAATACAATTTAATTTGGATTTAGTAAGAATTCAATTTGCATTCTGAGAGAATTATTTTGGATTGAATATATTTTTATTTGAAATAAAATTAGAATTAGGATTTAATTTAGATTTAATTTAAATTTAATTTGTATTCAACTTGAATTCAATTGGTATTTTTGGATGATTAGAATTTAATTATGATTCACTTACGATTCGAATTGAATTTCTATTTTTTTTTTAATAAAGTAGAATTTAAGATGAGCATTAAATTTAACAGAATTTAAATGAGCTTTAATTAACATTTGATTATGATCTATTTAAAACTCGATTTGAATTTAATTAGAATTTAATTTATATTCAACTGGAAATCAATTTGTACTTTCTTGTTATTAATTTAATTACTATATGCCAATAAAATTCTAATAAAACTCAGATTAAATTTTAATAATTAGAATTTAATTGGGATTGAAATAAGATTTAATTAGATATAATAAAATTTAATTTTGATTTAGTTAAATTATTACAAATGAAAAACAATTGGAAGTGATACTCTTTATTAGAAGTGATAGTAACCATAAAAGTGGTAATAAAGTATGATGTTGTGGTAATATTTGATATAAGTGGTAGAATTTAAAGTTAAAACAATTTTGTTAACCCATTCTATTTTTTTGTTTTTCCGAAGAATAAACGACAAGATCAAAAACGACATTTCCTTTAGCAAGAACCACATTGTTCATAGACATCGAGGCAATAATTTTATAGGTGCCTTCTGGAAGCAAAAACACTGGCACCAAATTCTCATCAAAATGGTAATTCAGATGGAAATTTTCCTGAAATTGACAAATATGAAAATTGGACATTTTTAGAACATTTTTAAACCGATTCTGCCGCATAACAGACCAATGTTATGGCAAGGCTATGTTATGAAGAACTTTCCATACAAATTCGTTCTGGATATTGACAAAAGCCATGCGGGTTGCGGTGCAGTCAGGCGTATTTCTCAGGTCAGATAGAAAACCTAACGTAGAAACCGCACAAATGTCAAATAAACGATGTTAAATAACAGGATGTTCCTGACTCAGCTTCATAACATACAAGTGACTTTGCAGTTTACGTAGAAAACGCCTGAATGCACAGCAAATACATTATATTCTGACAGTTTTCAGTATAATTCAGTAGCATAATGTATGTAAGTTGGAGCATAACATGGCCTTGCCATAACATTGGTCTGTTTTACGGCAGAATCGGTCAGTAGAGTCCCTTTTTATCTTAATATTTTTAAGCAATATCATTTTCTAGCTCAATTTTAATTTGCTCGTCAGTAGAGTCCTTTTCGTCAAATTCAATTTTAATTTAGTAAATAGAGTCCTTTTTTAAACATTTAAATTTGGTTGTCAGTATAGTCCTTTTTATCTTAGTATTGAAATTTAATCGTCAGTAGAGTTTTTTTGTGTTAAATTTGGTCGTCAGTAGATTTTTAATTTGCTTGTCAGTAGAGTCCCTTTTCCTCATATTCATTTTTAATTTGCTTGTCAGTAGAGTCCTTTTCTTCTTAAAAAATAAATATGCTCGTCAGTAGAGTCCTTTTCTTCTTAAAAATTTAATATGCTCGTCAGTAGAGTCCTTTTCTTCTTAAAAATTAAATACTCTCGTCAGTAAAGTCCTTTTCTTCTTAAAAATTAAATATGTTCGTCAGTAAAGTTCTTTTCTTTTTAAAAATTAAATTTGGTCATCAGTAGAGTCCTTTTCCTCTTAAAAATTAAACTTGGTCATTAGTAGAGTCCTTTTCTTTTTAAAAATTAAATTTGGTTATTGGTAGTGTCCTTTTATTTTTAAAAATTAAATATGCTCGTCAGTAGAGTCCTTTTCTTCTTAAAAAATAAATATGCTCATCAGTAGAGTCCCTTTTTTCTGAAATAATAATATACTGTATTATCCTAAATCTGGTAGATAGTAGAGTTCCTTCTTTCTCGTAATATTAAACTAACATATTTCCTTATAAATTTAATTTGCTCGTCAGTAGAGTTCGTTTTATTCAAATCCAAGTTAAATTTGCTCGTCAGTAGAGTCCCTTCTTAAACTAAAATTTTATTCAATAATAATGCAATGCAGTGACCGATTCTGCCGCATAACAGACCAATGTTATGGCAAGGCTATGTTATGAAGAACTTTCCACACTAATTCGTTCTAGATATTGACAAAAGCCGTGTGGGTTGCTGTGCAGTCAGGCGTATTTCTCAGGTTGTGGGATAGAAAAATTAACTTAGTAACCGCACAAATGTTAAAAACAACT